CGGAGCGTGTATGATCCTTCTCCACATCATTGGATGTCATTCATAAAGGCAACCAGTAGTGGGAACTCCCACTAGCGACCTCATCGCCAGCCACTGGCGACATGCAGCGACAAAGTTGCTTGTAGTGTGAACGGGGCTTTAGGGTGTATTCACACCAGGAAAGTCCGATAGGTCCACTTGCTTTGGTCCGGACCAAATATATATATATTTTTTTGGTACGGTTCGCTTTCACACTGCTCTTTTTGCAAGTGAACCAAAATTTGTAAACAAAACCACACGTGTGCTAAGGTCGTCCATTCATTGGACAAGGATTCTCAAGTAGGGAAATCAGGAAGTGCAAAAAAGGCTTAACGTAAATTAACGCAGCATCATCCTTGTATTGTAACTATCGTTACATTATATGAACTGCAAATGTTTTTTTTGCATCTATGCGCGATTAGACTAAAGAGAAAGCTCTTTATGTGAATGTCCTGATGCACACACTCATTCATTCAGTCCATTCCAATGATGCACACACACGACGCGCAGAAAGACGCGCAACAGATGTAATTTAGTAGGCTACAACGATCACTTTCCCATAACGCAACTCCGACTACGGAAGCCTGTTAACTCAAAGGCGCAGTGCTTTCTTGCAATTGGGTCGGTTCATGTTCACACCGTAAACGAACCGTACCAGAGTTCGTTTGGAAGCGTAGCGAGACCACCTCTTCAGCTGGGTCTCGGTTCGGTTGTTTGGTCCGCACCCGAGTTCGATTGCTGTATTCACACCTGCCCAAAAGGTCCGCACCAAGGGGGGAAACGAACTAGAGTTCGATTCAATCAAACCAAACAAGCCAGGTGTGAATACACCCTTAGTGGCCTATGCACACTAGCTTGCTTGATTTACGTTAGTTACGCGCATTTACACGTTACGTTAAGTGTTTCCCGCGCAAGGTACTTTGTGTTGCTCGTTGCCGTGACGTTCACGCGCGCATATTTAACTGCAGCAATGTACATACTTACAAGATAACACGACGTAACCTTGCGCTCACTTGAAATGTGTCCATACATTAAGTCCTTGAATTTAAGGTGGTTGGGCCTGGGGCTGTCACTTTACGTGCGAAAATAGATTGCACAATCGATCGGACCAACCAACACAAGTTTCGAAAACGAAAATAGGAAATCAATTTTAAAGGCCTTTTTTTTTTTTACCAAAAATGTGTGTTAGGTGGACAGATCAATACAGCACACAGAACATGTGGGATGCTGGACAATAACAATGTCTTTTCTGTTCACCAAATGCTTTTTAATATTCGCTATTACTTCAGTGCAAGTGAACAAGCGCGCCGTTATCTGTTGCGTAGTGACGTGTGTGTGTGTGTGTGTGTGTGTGTGTGTGTGTGTGTGTGTGTGTTCAAGTAAGCAAGAAATGCACAGATTCTGCAATACGCTGTATTTAATATATCATGAGGAGCACGAGTTGCGTATTTGCGCTAAATCCGCACAGATTTGTCTTACACGAACTTCCCCAGCAAAGTGAGTAAACACAGAAACGGCAGATTGGCTCGTGATTTGACAGCGAAAGTTAATTTTTACCCACATTTGGCGGGTTGGAGGGTGTTCATTTAAATCCAATATACATATATATTGGCGTGTTTCAATATACAACATGTTGCGCTCCTGTTTGTCATTGAGCTGAAACTTCACGCCAATAAATCATCAGGAATATTGCTGACTTGTGCGTCTCAAGCGCCCTCTTTATGCTCGTCCTAATGCCTGTTAGGTGTCCGTGGATTTGCCTGTATTTGGTGTTGAAAATGGAAACGTCTTTAGATGGAAAATCGATTCAATGAACACTTATGACTCAAAAATCGAACAGGATTGTGACAGCCCTAGTTGGACCTGGAAAATCCTTGAAAGGTCCTTGAATTTGAAGTTAACCGAGGTGTGGGAACCCTGTACTAACTTTCATAGTCATAGTCACACAAAAACAAGGAGAAACTGGATATTGGGCTGCTGAGTGGAAAAGGGTTTCTTTTGTCTGCTCGCGTGCATAGACGTCACTGATGGAGAGGAGACTCCGGTCCAGCCGGCACTCACTCAAGGCCCGGGACAATGTGATTGCGTAATTATTTAAAAGATCGGAATTTAATTGAATCGAATGAATTATGAATCGAATCATGAAATTTGTGTCAATACCTAGTACCTACCCAGCCCTAATTATTATCGTGTCACATTAGCATTAGTGTCTTTATGTGCTGTCAAGGTTTTTATAGATTTTTTCATCCATAAATATCGATACTAAAATATTTGAAACTGTTTCAATACTCATTTTCCACAGTATGGATGTGGCAGTACCAGCTCACTGATTTCAGTGATTGCACTTTCACTGGCCCCACCACAAAGACAAGCAATACGTGAATAAAATAGTTATTGTTCTTGTTATTTTCGACCCATGTATAGGCTACTTGTACTGTAATAAATAAGGTTATGACACCCACAATTTTAGATACCAGTGACATTTTTAACCAATATGAACAAAAAAAGAACTAATAATTAAACTACAAGCAATAATACACATAAATAAATACAATAGAATAAAGATACAAATGAAATAATCAGTGCTTTTGAGGTTTTTCAAGTAGTTCTCAGGTACAGAAATTGAGTAAAGAAATCAAATGTAAAATAACACTGCATATAATCTGTTCAAATTAAATAAAGGTTTACAAAAAAAATATTTAGTGAACAGCAGGGAGTGAGTTCTTTGTCTTTTGTCGTTAGATTAACATTAAGAACACAGACAGGAATATTAGTACATGCAATCTTCCTCCACTGTTTGCTTAAGCCATAACCGACTGTGTTTACTTGGACACTCTCGAAGGTGGGCATGTTGAGATACATTTGTGTGAATTTGTCTAAGTGCAGGGAGATATGAAAGAGAATTAATAAGGCAGCTGTGCGCGCTTCGGGTGTGTGCGCACACACATCTCTATGCGTTATGGCGGCGTAAATGACTGGTCATATCGGCACTCGCATTGAACAGAGTTTGGGGGACGCCAGAACGCGTATCCATCGACAGAAACATACATTAGCCTAACTATGTCCGTCTGTTTTGTTTATATTCAACAAACCATATTATAGATGCTTATGCCTCGTCAGATTCGAGATGAACGTGGCTGGAGAACTATACAGTTCGATTTTATTGTATTTTGTTAATGTGTTACTGTTTAGTAGGGCTGGGATACACCTATCTCCCGATTCTATACTCTCACGATACTTGGGTGCCGATACGATATGTATTGCTTTTTAAATTTTTTTAAGAATTGCGAATCTACAAGTATTGCGAAAAAGTTAAATCTCACACTTATACAGACCGTACATGATGTATAAGATGAGTCATATTTACAAAAAGAAATCATCACATCTTTCAGAGTTTTATTTCAGAAGCATCACACAATACTACATCTCTTGAATAAATGATTCAATAACAAATACAATTTTTATCAGTCATCTAGTGGCGAAACAATGTAATCGATAAATGCGTTATTTTACGCACCAAGTTTCTATCAAAAGCTGATTTACTCTATTTTGATCGATATCGCAGACATCAGTGTTCATATTTGAACTTGAAACTTTTATCCCAGTCCTTCTAGTATAAGTTGAACTATTGCGTCACAGAAATAATGAGACTATGAGGTTGAAAAGAGTGTTTGTGAAGCGGTTTCATGACGACTCTCTCCGGGTCAGCGCCAACACAGCTTTGAATGTTGCGATATGATTTTGTCAAAGTTTAATAGACAGATGAACTGGAAGATGGCGTGTGTGTGTGAATGGAGATCACAGTCTTTTAAAGATGAATCGTGCAGCTCTACTGTCTTATCTCTCTCTCAGTATATGTGTAGAGCGAGGGCTTTCAGTGCGTTCAGCCTCACGTCTCTTCCACACACACACACACTTGGGATATTACGTCACTCAACACACACACACACACATTTCATCCTCTTATGGAACGAAAGAGGCTAACTTCTGTAAACCTCGTCTACAAGCAAGGACAACAATAAAGCAATTTCATTTGAATTAATATCGATTCTGGATTTTAAAATCGTCAACAACAAAAAAATCGTGATAATTAGGTGAAGCGATTTTTTTCTCCAAGCCCTAGTGTTTAATGTGTATGTCCTATACTACCATGCTGTCGCGATTGCACCAGAGAATTTCAGCACCTGCACACTTTATTCACGGTGTTGTGACAATAAGGGGATTTGATTTGTAGTTTTCCACCAAAACAAAAGCATAAGGGTTTAACTGTTTATCTCTAGCAGAGTTTCAGTCGATAAGAAAATACTTTGACTAGGGTCAAGCGTAAATTAACTTAAAAACTGTTCAAATGTTATGCCCTTAATGTTGTGACAATAATTTCAATATTTTTCAAGGTATTGTATGGAAGTTAGAAATTCCAATTCTATTGCAACTCTAGTGTTTTTAAAAAACTGGACTTTTAAAGCAAAAATATAAGTGGCGTATGTAATATGTCCCCTGATAAGTACGAGTTGTATTCTTCTTCTGTAGCTCCACAAATGCCCGCAGCTCGAGTTGTTTGTGTGCGTCTGTTAGAGGAAAAGCTGGTTTAGAGTATCAGACTCCGATTACAATGTGAATCTGGAACAAAGAGAAAGGGCTGACCCTGATCTCCTTTACTCACACATACACACACACACACACTTCCCACCGTTTCACCTCCAACCTCTCCTATTTTCGGCCTGTGTGCACGAGCCTCCCGACGAATGCTTTCATCCGGGCCAGAACGCAAGCCTCCACTTTGGCAAGTGCAGTTTCACACAAACACATCTGACACTTAACCGTGCTTCTCTTTAGTCGACTTCTCTTTCAACTCTATTGCATTGCTGGATGTGCAGGCAAATTAGAGGCCAGTTTTAGCTTGGCTACTTTTCATCCCGAGTGTTTATCAATGTAATTCCTAACCTTGTCATATTTCTCTCTCTCTATCTATCTTTACACAGATGTGAAGAAGGACTGGTCAGATCACGCGCTGTGGTGGGAGAAGAAGAAGACCTGGCTGCTAAAGACCCACTGGACGCTTGATAAATATGGCATTCAAGCCGACGCCAGGCTTCTCTTCACTCCACAACACAAGCTTCTGCGACTTCAGCTTCCCAACATGAAGCACATGAGGGTGAAAGTCAACTTCTCTGACCGTGTCTTCAAGGCCGTGTCCGACATCTGCAAAACCTTCAGTGAGTGCCTTCCCTAAAATAAACTCCATTAGCCCAACTCAATATTCCCACTGGTCGTGAAGAACAATACGTCATGATAATTGTGTTATTTTGATATGCATTAGAGCACATTCAGCCTTTAATGCTGAGAATAGATGTAGGGTTTGGATGGAGAGATGGTGTTAAATCAGAATACAGTGGCAGCTTGAAGGCCCCGTGAAATGGATTGAAAACACAATTGTTTTCATGTGTTGATGTATTTTCTCTACCTATCCAAGGGCTTGTGTTTTTAAATAACCAGTAGTCTTTATTTTTCGCAACCCAGCACAATCATTGCAAACACTGAAAACTTGCCTCTATTTTATTTATTTTTTCAATAATTGTATCCCTTAACTCATCTTTGATCACCAAAAGACATACACTCACCTAAAGGATTATTAGCAACACCATACTAATACTGTGTTTGACCCCCTTTCGTCTTCAGAACTGCATTAATTCTACGTGGCATTGATTCAACAAGGTGCTGAAAGCATTCTTTAGAAATGTTGGGCCATATTGATAGGATAGCATCTTGCAGTTGATGGAGATTTGTGGGATGCACATCCAGGGCACGAAGCTCCCGTTCCACCACATCCCAAAGATGCTCTATTGGGTTGAGATCTGGTGACTGTGGGGGCCATTTTAGTACAGTGAACTCATTGTCATGTTCAAGAAACCAATTTGAAATGATTCGAGCTTTGTGACATTGTGCATTATCCTGCTGGAAGTAGTCATCAGAGGATGGGTACATGGTGGCCATAAAGGGATGGACATGGTCAGAAACAATGCTCAGGTAGGCCGTGGCATTTAAACGATGCCCAATTGGCACTAAGGCACAAGAAAACATCCCCCACACCATTACACCACCACCACCAGCCTGCACAGTGGTAACAAGGCATGATGGATCCATGTTCTCATTCTGTTTACCATCCAAATTCTGACTCTACCATCTGAATGTCTCAACAGAAATCGAGACTCATCAGACCAGGCAACATTTTTCCAGTCTTCAACTGTCCAATTTTGGTGAGCTCTTGCAAATTGTAGCCTCTTTTTCCTATTTGTAGTGGAGATGAGTGGTACCCGGTGGGGTCTTCTGCTGTTGTAGCCCATCCGCCTCAAGGTTGTGCGTGTTGTGGCTTCACAAATGCTTTGCTGCATACCTCGGTTGTAACGAGCGGTTATTTCAGTCAAAGTTGCTCTTCTATCAGCTTGAATCAGTCGGCCCATTCTCCTCTGACCTCTAGCATCAACAAGGCATTTTCACCCACAGGACTGCCGCATACTGGATGTTTTTCCCTTTTCACACCATTCTTTATAATCCCTAGAAATGGTTGTGCGTGAAAATCCCAGTAACTGAGCAGATTGTGAAATACTCGGACCGGCCCGTCTGGCACCAACAACCACGCCACGCTCAAAATAGCTTAAATCACCTTTCTTTCCCATTCTGACATTCAGTTTGGAGTTCAGGAGATTGTCTCGACCAGGACCACACCCCTAAATGCATTGAAGCAACTGCCATGTGATTGGTTGATTAGATAATTGCATTAATGAGGAATCGAACAGGTGTTCCTAATAATCCTTTAGGTGAGTGTATTTAAACGTTTTTCCCTTGAAAAAAATATTTCTTCATGGCTTAAAATAGCTTGAGTGTAACTCGACACCCTTGCCTCATTTAGTATACGTGGCTTTATGAAAATGCAAATGAGCCCCGCCTCCACTCACTCACTCAGCTCAGAGATCCACTGGTTGACGATCACACGTTGATCTGATTGGTTACAAGGTCGTTTGTGACGTCAGAAACACCAGCGATTTCAAACCGTGTTTTTGAGACTGTCTTTGGTTCACTGCAGTTTTAAGCAGAAAATACTCAGCAATGCTGTCGACTTATGAACTTACACGTGGTTTGTATTAAAAACACCACATAGACATATAAACAACATTAAAAGCTTTCTTTTCACCACAGGGAGACTTTAAATATAGGCTATTAAGGCCGTTTTCATACCTGGGTTGTTAGGAGCATTTGTTTCAGAACGTAGCACGTGTTCTCCCTTTGGTTTAGTTTGTTTAGGTATATATGAAAATGACACTCGGATCCGCTCCAGAAATACGCCAGGGATGAACTAACTGAGCGATCTGGTCTCGGCCTGCTTGAAGACGAACTCTGCAGCCGTTCCCTTGTGGGCAGAAAGCAATCTGACGGACATATGTATGATTGGTAATTATTACATGCGTTGCGTGAAAAGCAGTTGCGTTAGTTTTGCTAATGCCTCCCAAAATGAATCGCGGGTTAACCTGGAGCAAAAACTAGATGTCATGCATATTTCAGAACCGTCCAAAATGCATTAAAATACAGATGAAGCCTTGATGTTTGCTCAGAATTATAACAAGTTTTGATCCATTTAGGTCAGTTGCCTTGTGAAAGCAACATTGTAACAATTTTAAAGGGGTGGTTGAGTATGATTTCACTTTTCTAACTGTAGTTAGTGTGTAATGTTGCTGTTTGAGCATAAACAACATCTGCAAAGTTACAACGCTCAAAGTTCAAAGCAAAGGGAGATATTTGCTTTTAAAGAAATCACTTTTGAAGGACTACAACAAACGGCTGGTAGGAACTACACAAGCTTCCTCCCGGTTAGTGACATCACTAACCCTAACATTTACATAAACCCCGCCCCCGGGAACGTGATTTATAGATTATCAAGACAGAATATGCTAATCAATGACTAGAAGATAGACACATCAGCTCACATCATAAATTCATCATCAACTAACCATTCAGAAATGTTGTCTACATGTTGTCACTTCTTCTCGAGTCTCTCCATCTTTGTCTGACTCCGGTTTGAACATAACAGGCTAAAAGTTTTTGAAATGTTCAGTGCATGTGTGTGTGTGTGTGAGGTAAAAGTACACAAGCTGTTGAAGCTCCGCCCCCTGTGCCGGGAGCAGCAGCTCATTTGCATTTAAAGGGACAGACACAAAACTGTCACCCTCAAAAAGTGACAACTTTAACATGCTAAGTGGCATTATACCATCCCTTTTAATCCCTGTTTCGGGGAAAAAGCAAATGATCTAAAGGTCCGAACCCCCCCCCCCCCCCCCAAAAACAAAACAAAAAACAATTTACTCCAATTTACAATATTGTATAATGCATTATGCAACAGTACTACACATTTAACGGCAGTAGTGTGCGGTGTTGGGAGCAGGGCTACTGATATAAAGCCAGTATATATCAATGACATTAATCGATTTAAAGACAGTATAACATGAACAGCAAAAAAAAAAAAAATAATATTCATATACATAATATTTATCAAGTCATTTGAATTTAAATTGAGAATTGATCAATTTGGTAAACAATTATTTTTAACTTGATTTGATTGATAAATACAGATTTATACTTTGTTGCGAAATGTCAGTGATTCTGCTCTATAATAGACTAGTTTCACAAATATAACTTATTACATAATACAACATGTATTGGTATTCTGTTGGCAAGTAGTATGGTGATATCCCTTTGATGTTATAGTGTTTACTCCTGTGGATCACGGCTCTAGCGTCTGAGGCGATCGTGCCACAGCTCTGCTATCTGATAAATGAACCACGTTTCTGGCTCTTTATTATTTGTTAAACACACTGAGCCGCCATGATTGGTCTTTCTTAGCATTACTAAGACCCAGCGCGTCCTTGAACTGCTCCAAATCTTGTTTTTACAAACGATTCTTATCAATGTAACTGGCAGTGTAACTTTTGTTGTGTCCATTTATGGA